CAAACCCAATTTCTTTTTTTTATAAAATAATATAAATCATGTAAATATGGTGATTATCTGTAATAATAGCGTATAATTAAATATTTATAATTTAATCAAACCTACTAAATTATATTTGTTGCAAATGATGTACAAAAGTAGATGCAATTGCGGTCTTTCTTGCAATACTGGGTGGGCCTGGCGCACCCCAATAATTTATAGGCCCAATGCTGATTTAGAGATGGAATTGCTTTGTCAATTAAGCGTTTGTTCGACATTTGATGGAAATTAAAAAAATAATATTTGAAAGTTAAAATTAGCATTGTAAATACTAATTTCAAGTATAGAGAAATTTACAGATGTTAAAATCAGATTCCCTCCATTTTATTTTTATAAAAGTATTTGATTGGACACAAAAAAAAATTTAAAAGGAAAATTACTTGTGGAACTTGTTATAATCTTAAAAATCCAATAAAATTTATATTGCCAACAAATTATGTCGTTAAAGATAAAATAAAAAGTTTTTTTTTAAAATTAAATTATTATTAAAATATAAGAACATGACACCTTCATGCGTTCATTTTTAACACATAAAGTATCATCTTTCTATAATTTTTTTTTTTTTAAAAAATATTCATTTTATCTTTAACCCCATGATTTGTTGGTTGGCCACATAAATCTTATAATTTTTTAGAAGTATAAAATAGAACAGAGAGAGTACCATTTATGGCCAAAAGGGTAAGTCCATAGGAAAGGGGAAAAAAGGTACATTCCTGGTAGAAACACTGAAATTACGTAGATCATCATAACTTCATATATACCCAACGAAAATACAATAAAAAGGAACAAGGACCATCACATGACTGGTGAATAGATTTCAATACAAATATCAACATCGACTTTAAAAAAAATACTATGAGAAGCTGAAAGACGAGAAATATTTGATTATTGAATTGAGCTATGATTATTAGTTGTTGTCATGATCAGAGAAAAAACGGTTGATAGAAGGCATGACTTGTGGTGGACGAGTGCGTAGGAAGTTTCGAAGGCTGTGTTTTGCATACTTCTCTCCTTCTTCTTCATTTTCAAGTACTCCCATGCTTCTATGTGCCTTATTGATCCTACAATTTTTATATACTAAATTAATATTAATAATGACTCAACACACTTAATTGACATGATCATGAGATTTGTTTTTTTTTTTTTTTTAATATACCTGACATCAGGATTTAAGAGAACATTCCTTGTTAGCTGAAAAACACACATCCCCGTTACAAATGTCATGGCCGCCATCAGTGGATATACCTGCATCGCAATTGATTCAATAACAAAGGCTGAATTCATCAAATTTAAATCTCGAATAACCTTGTATTATGTACAATTAAGGAGGGATTTAGTTGAGTATTACCTCGGGTCTAATCCAACGCCCCATTTAGCGTAATGTTATGTCCTTTTATCAACTGGTTGGGTACCTAGACCTTTTTTTTGTAAAAGAAAGAGCTAATAAGTGCTTGTATATGTAGATTATATATACGTTGAAGGTAGATGGGGTGTACGTTTGTCTCCTGTATTTCATTCGTTTATATAGCACTCCCTCAAATTACGTTTCTATAGCATTGGAAAGCAAGGATTGGCTGGATTAATTATGGATGTTTCCACCAATCCACATTTGACAAGTTGAAGGTGAGGGCTTAATTAATTACTCCCTCCGTTTCATATTATTTTACCCTTATTGCCTGATATATTTTGAGGAGTTTTAATTAGAGGTGTATTTTATTAACCTAATTTTTTTTAGTGATGTTTTGAAACTCTAAATTTAACTACTATAACTATATAGTTATTTAATATTAAGAATATTTTTTAAAAATAATAATAAATCTCTTAATTTACTAAAATGAACAAGTAAATTAAAATAACATAGTGGCCAAGTAAAATGATAGGAAGGGAATACACATTTTTCAGTGGGCTGGCTGATAAGCAACAAGTTTTCTCTTGGAAAGCAATAAAACCAGGTGCGCCTATAGCTTCTAGTTTTGAAGTTGACCTGCTGATTTAGCCATTTCTTGTTCCACAAGCCTCTCGACGACGATAATTCTAGGATTAAAAAATTGCAAGTACTCCCTTTGTCTAACAATATTTATCCACTATTGATTTTACACATTTTTTAAGAAACTATAAATAGAAGAATAATTTTACTATATTACCTTTTGAATATTATTCATTGATTTCATAAAGTGAACAAGTATTGTTGGACATCTCAAAATAGTACCGTAGACAACTATTATTGGACGTTTTGGTTCATAAACTAGAAAGACTGCCGGTCCAAATCGATTTCGGAGACCATGAAACATAGCAATAATTTCATTGAAATTAGAGAAAATCTACGGGTACTGCGTCCAAACAAGGGAATTTGATTTTTATCTATATTTTGACTTTCATATGTGTACAATGCTACATTTTTCTAATAAATATATTCCCACCTATTTGTTTCGGATATATCTCTATTAATAAAGTGAGTCAATTTGACCGTGAGGGGTCATATTGGAATATTTAAACTGGGATGAAATCAATCGTTACGAAATTGTGTACTCAATAACTCCTTCCTTTGTTGAATTTTGGATTGTTCTTATCTAGATTTAGTTAGATGAGTAAGAACCATTCATTAATATCCCTTCACCTGATCCTATTTAAAAAAACAAAAAACAAAAAAAACAGTATGAATAAGACGATAAATTGTGAGAAATTTTCTCTTCTACTTTTATTTAATTTTAGACTAAATTACAGAATAAATCCTTCATTTGAGTTGTTTTGAACATCATTTAGATACCAGCCCCATTAGAATTGTCTTTCAATCCAAACCAATCTTTTTGGGCCGAAAAGGGTGCATGGTAAGTTAAACAAACCCAAATATGGCCCAGTAATATCATGATTCATGAGGCCTCTTTCACCTAAACCAGACCACGCCTAGTCAATAAACGCAACCAAATAATCTGCATTCGACCTTCGAATTACAGAGAAAATTCAGAAAAAAGAGAACTTACAAATATTCAATAATAAATTGTTAAATTAGGTCTTAGGCCTAACTCACACCCCAAAAGCTAGCTCAAAGGGAGGAGGATTTGCCCCAAGCCTTATAAGGAGTCCACCCATCTCATTTAACCACCGATGTGGGACTTTTGTCATTCTTTAACACCCCACCTCACGCCTAGTGCTTAGCATCTGGTGCGTGGACAATTTTGATTTTGGGGGTCCCAACATCGGGTGAGACGGGCCCTGCTTTGATACCATGTTAAATTAGGTCTTAGGCCTAACTCACACCCCAAAAGCTAGCTCAAAGGGAGGAGGATTGCCCAAGCCTTATAAGGAGTCCACCCATCTCATTTAACCACCGATGTGGGACTTTTGTCATTTTTTTAACAAAAAATAATTTCTGTTTCATTATATTTTATTTGTGATTGCAGTTAATTTATTTTTTACTACTTATAAATTTGTTGCAAACAATCTATTTATCTATAAAACATTTTGAAAACAATGATTTATATTTTGATCAAATGTATTTAGTAATCTATGTATAAAATGGAGTAAAAGTAGAATATAACCCTGACGGAGCTTTACATCATTTCTTCAAGTTATGGTGAAAGTGAGTGTGTGTTTTTTACAGAGAAAGAGGGAGACAATGATGGTTTGTTGAGTTGAGTATGATATAAGCATTACGTTGATATCGACAGTCCCTTGCAACCCACTGCACACGCCAAACCACATGTAAACTCATATATATTCCGTAACTGGACTCCGAAGGACCTTACCTACATATTCGTTTGTGTCTTTATTTCATTTTTTGGCTCTTCTCTTTTTCTTTATTACTCATTTGATAGAACTATAATAAGAATTCATCTTTTTTTGCGCTTAGGGTGTGTGACGATTGAGGTTTGCTCAAGTCTTCAGCAACTGCACCATCAATCAGTTGGTTGAGAGTTTCAGTCACACTTAGGGTGGCAAAATGGGTATCCGCTCATATTTACTCATTTCAAATGGGTTGAGTATCCAACTCATTTAAAAATAAGTAAAAAACAAATAATACCCAAGGGTGGGGTGGTAATTTTTTTTTTCTTTTACATTTTTTTGGGATGGGAGGGGCTGGGTAGGGGGTGGAGTGAAGTGATAAAAAAAACTTACATTTTAAAAAAAAAAAAAAGTTTTAACAAGATTTCTATTATAATATGGGTAAATATGGTTATCCATATTATTCATTGGGTAACTCGTTTTTACCCATTTAAAATGTGAGTCAAGTTGAGTAACTTACCCATTTTTATTTAACTCGTTTTTTGATCGACTCATATTCGACTCAACTTGCTCGTTTGCCACTCCTAATCACACTCAAGGGTAAAAGAGAATACTCTAGACCCTTCTGGTCCTCGAGGTGGGGTGGAAAAAATAAGTTTGTGTGGGGATGTAGTGGATGAATCATTGGAATTTGGAAAGTAAAGAGATTTTAGGAACATAACTTAGTTATTCTATATATGTCTTGTATAGGAAGGGGATGTTCTACTTGTTACAATGTCCTCCCCTACCAAAACTTTGCCCTTTCTTTCTTTGAGGTAAACTCTTGAAAGGTGTTACGACTTTTTCACTTTCTAATTCTGACTCACCACGTGATCTATTTAAATATTTCAAAGTTCTCAATATTTTATTACATCATCAAAATTGAAAATACGCCCTCCAATTCACTTATATTTATCATCACGTTTTGATTTACGAGAATCGATTTGGTTAATATTTTGAAGTATCATTGAATTTGATTAGTTCTATATATATAATTTTTTTTTTTGATATTTAAAAACTATACAAAAAGTATTATAAGTCGCAATCCTTCTCATATTAATAGAATGAAAATACTCTCGTGAACTCTAACATGACAAGTAAATGTGAACGGAGAGAGTAATTATAAGTCAAAAAGCTTCGATTCGCTTCTTAAATAAAAAAGGTCATCTTTTCTTAACAGGAAAATCACCGTTAGAATGTTACAATCACGTATCAAGGAAATATATTAGTTCATTAAAAAAAAGAAAAAGAAAAAAACGAAGAGCTTGATGTATACATATGACATATCACTGACCAAATTAAACCCTTGCTTCAAGATTCAGAAAGTACTCCAGCAGCAATATAAATATTAGAGCTAAATCAACAAACAAAATAAAATGTAACAATCAGACTACACATCTTCTCCCTCCTCTTGCTACCAACAGCCAGTTGGTACATAAGAAATTACACATGCTATACGACTCATATATATAATTCCAAGTATACTACATATTATACGACTCATTTTTTTTGTTTTTGACGAAAAAAATGAGAGGTTTGATTGGTGTTGCTGGCTTCTTCTTAATTGCTCTCATTCCTCATACAGGTGTTTTAAGTCTACAATATTCAATCTGTACTCATTTTTCTCCTTCTGTTTTATGTTTATTGCTTTGCCCCCCTCAAACATAACATTTGTTACGTACATTGATGCAGTTGCATTTGATCCATTGGATCCCAATGGGAATATCACCATCAAATGGGATGTTATGTCTTGGACACCAGATGGCTATGTCGTAAGCGATTTAATTTATATATACTGATCGTGTAAATTATTGCATTTTAACATGTTGTAGACGCATGTGTTGCATGTTCTATTTTATGAACATTCTAATTCCATATAATATAGCATAAATTATTCAAAAGTTGAACCCCATTTGTTTGGAATTTAACAGTAACTTTTACACCATCACATCAATTGTGATTAATTAGTCTTGCTCTAACATGTTAAAAAACCTGATGATTGTGTAAAAATAAATTTTATATATCGTCAGTGTATAAATCTTTTGTTTTCTCTTAGTTTTTGCAAATGATTAAGTTCCTAGCTAGATGACCATTTTTTGGATCATACTTGTAGGCTACTGTAACGATGAACAATTTCCAAATGTACCGGCATATCATGACCCCTGGTTGGACCCTAGGATGGACATGGGCTAAGAAAGAAGTGATTTGGTCTATGGTAGGTGCACAAACCACTGAACAAGGCGACTGCTCTAAATTCAAAGGCAACATTCCTCATTGCTGCAAGAAGAATCCCACAGTAGTAGATTTGCTCCCTGGAACTCCTTATAACCAGCAATTCACCAATTGCTGCAAAGGTGGTGTCTTGGCTTCTTGGGGACAAGATCCTCAATCTTCTGTCTCTGCATTTCAAGTTAGCGTGGGACAAGCTGGTACCACGAACAAGACCGTTAAACTTCCTAAGAACTTCACTTTGCTTGGTCCTGGACCTGGATACACTTGTGGCCCTGCTAAGATTGTTCCACCTACCAAATTTTTCACACCTGATCTTCGACGCAAAACTCAGGCCTTAAGTAAGTCACGTTCCTCAAGTTAATTTTCACATATGGTCATTGAACTTTATGCACTAATCACTGATCCTTTTGCAGTGACATGGAATGTAACATGCACATACTCCCAATTTCTAGCACGAAAACACCCGAGTTGTTGTGTTTCCATGTCAAGTTTCTATAATGAAACCATCACTACTTGTCCTTC